TATGGATTTAAATTAAAGTACAAATTTTCAAGTGGCTTTGGGCAGACCTAATTATTAACCTAGGGCAAAATGCTTTTACCACAGTTTACCTTGAACTAAAAAGCAACTTTTGCATACCCTGCCAACATGAATTTGCAATGATAGGAAATTATTATTTTTTAAACCAAAAATTGCGAAATTAACAAAAAACTCAAATTTTCAAGTGCCTTGGGGCAGACCTAAATATTAATCTAGGGCAAAATGCTTTTACCACAGTTAATTTTGTACCCAAAGGCAACTTTTCCATACCCAGCTCAAATGAATTTCCAAAAAAAGGTTTTTTCACTCCACCCTATTGTGCATGTACAAAATATTCAATAAACCTTATACTCATATTAAACCTTTAAAGAATTTTTCATGAATTAGGCAAAAAAAAAGTCGTTTTTTTACGACTCCACACCAAAAAAAGAGTCGTTTGTTTACGACTCCACACCCCTGCTTTAAAGAAGTTTTTGAGAGAATGTGTTTAATTAATCTAAAATCGTTTTAAACTACGAAGCGAGCAAATAAAAATAAATACACATATAAGTATAGATACTCATACACAGTACATTTTACAAAGTATTACTCATCATACGATATATAACATTTTTAAAGAAAAAAAGTACATAAGAACACAGCATAATATGCTGTGTTCTTATGTACTTTTTTTCTTTAAAAATAAATTTATTATAAACATATTATGTTTATAATAAATTTATAAATTTATAAGTATTTTACTAAAGAATACAACGTTAAAAAAAAAACTTAAAACGAAAATTTAAAAAAGCATAGATATTTTATCAATTAAAAGTATAAAATTTTTTAGTGTTTATTTAAAGAAGGGATAACTATATTTCTTAAATAATATCAAAATTTTTTAAAATTTTTTATTCCACAGAAAAGCTCCACGAACCGAAATGCAAAACTTTTCAAAATTTGTATGGTAACCAGGTTGTAAAATAGCTTCATCATTTCCTAATATGTATTTCTTAATATTTCTTTTGTTTGTTTGTTTTTTATTCTATCTAATTTATTTATGGTTGTTATTAAAATCTATTAATTAAGACGATCTTATCTTAATGTTAATTTTTTTTTTTTTTTTTTTTTTTTTTATTATCTTCGCTTCCAACAAGGTTGCAAGCAACCACTAATTAGTGTTGGAAGTTACTGGAAGAGAAAAGATGAAGATTGTAGAGCAAGATAACAATTGACAGACGACTTAAAATATTGCAAATTATATGAATCAGGAAAGCAAGATGAAGGAAGCAAATTCCAAAGAACTGATGTTCGAGGAAAAAAACTAGACGAATAAGAGTTTTTGGAGCACTTAGGAACAGTAACAGAAAAAGGATGAGACTTAATTGAATGACGAGTAACACGAGAATGAATTTTAGTAGATGGCACAAGAGACGCTAGCTCCCTAGAGCAGTGCCCATTATAGTATTTGCAGAAAAGAGAAAGAGAAGCAACATTACGACGATGTGACAGAGGTTGAAGGTTGGCTGCAAGAGCAGGTCCAACTATGTTTACAATGCGTTTTTGCACCTTGTCTAAAAGAGAAAGGGCATCATTAGAAGATCCGCCCCAGGTATGGCAACAGTATTCCATACAAGATTCATAGAAGATACGCCCCAGATATTGCAACAGTATTCCATATGTTAATATTTTTGTGAACATCTATCTTATTTCTTAGTTTATTCTTTATACACATGGAAATATTTTGTAAGAAGTTCATATTGTAACCCGGTGATAAGAAAAAATATCGGCGATAAGAAAAAAAATGTTTAAAAATTTTATTTGTAAATTTATGTATGTTGTAACATTTCTTCTACGGCAAAATATATTGTTCAATATATATATATATATATATATATATATATATATATATATATATATATATATATATATATATATATATATATATATATATATATATATATATATATAAAGGAAATTTCTCTGCCAATTTAAACCTTGACACTTAGCTTGCAATTACTTTGATAATTTGTAATCCGTTTTAGAACTTTACCAATTATTCCATAACATTAAAATTTGCTTATATTGCACGATCTATGTTTTGCTAAATCTATAAAAACTGTCTAAGTATATTGGTAATTTTCAAACAATTTAGTTATACTTTTTTAAAACTGCATGTTCTCTAGAATTATTATTTTTTAAAGCCGTATTGGTTGTTATATATGAGATTATTATTTGATATGTGATTATAAGTTTTATTATAAAAATTTTTTTAGACTTTTGAGAAAACGGAAAAATGGATATAAGACGGTAATTCCTTATATTGGTTGATTCTCCTCTTTTAAATATCGGTATAACCTTTGCTATTTTTAATTGATTTGGAAAAATTTCTTGTCTGATGGAACACAAAAATATCCTAAAATATTAAAATGTTTTATAAGAGATCAAATAAATTAATAGCAATGTTTGAATTAATATATTCTGTTAGGTTTGGGCGTTTTCAAACCACATTCAAATTTAACAAAAGTTAGCTCATAGAAGTTAAGATGTGATGTTAGAGGGAAAAAAAGATATTTTTCAAAATTAACAGTGAAATGAATTTTTTATGGCTAGGTTTGGGCCAACAGATACAAAATATTTATTTAGCTCAGCAGCTATCTTTCCTTGATTAACGAAAAACCCTTCGTTTATTTTAATGAGTTTGGGTAAATACATATTCGTTTTGTTCTTGCTTGCAATTTCAGGAATGATTTCCCTAGTATGTTTAGAATTTAGTTTATATTTTTCTAGTAAATTAGTATAGTATTTATATTTTAGATTTTATCTTTGTCGCAATTTTTAAAAATAGTTTTACTTTCCCTGGTTTTGATTTTTAATATTTAATATATAGTTAGTGTTTAGTTTTTGTAGTTCCTTGTTAATCCATATGGATTACCATGGCCATGGTTATTTATTGTTTTTTAATTTAAGATTAATTTTTATTTTAGAAAATTTGATTCGTATGTTTCAAAGAATGTTTTTTAAAAAAAAAAGGGCTATAGATTAAATTTTCATCATCCAGAATATCAGTTTTGTTCTTAATGTAGTCGAGATTATAAATAGAGATAATTTTTAAAGTAGTAGAGATAATTTCCTATTGGGTCATTAAAAAGCAACTACATTTTTACAAATGTACGATTCTACATTTTGCAGGTCGCGCGTTCTTTGTTTTAAAGTGTTTTATTAAATTTACATTTAACGTTTACATTATTTCTAAATTTAGAAAGCTGCATAAATTTTAAAAACTATTTCTCAAATTCTTAAGTTTTTAATGATACTGAGCTTTGCAAAATACACCAAAAAACTTTGATGGTTAAAATATAACTTAATTCTTGACATAGGGTTATTTTTTTTTTTTTTTGGCGTGGAGATAAAGCTCACATAACATTACGATAATGATAATGGTAAGAACGGAAACCGGTAAAACGTCTCTTTAAAACTTTCGATTTCAACTGTAGAGGTGGCAATCCTATGCTTCTTGTTTGTTTTCCAAAAATTTGTGAATGTGCGAAAGTATTAGCGTCAACATTCGTAGAAATGTTTATGCATTAAGTTATACTAATGAGTACAACATCGGAGCTACTTTCTTAACAGTTAAACATCGGAAAACTTTCAGGTTTTTAGATAGCTGGAAGTTTCATAATTTTATTTGAAGAGCCTAGACTTTCTTTTATATAACATGTATAACAAAAATAAAAGTTATATAGATAATATAATTTTGAAAGGGTTTTTACATAAAAAAAACAAAGTAAATTACTGATGATGATATTTGGCATAATTTAATGTAAATTTGGCATGATTTTAATGCGAGTTTAACAATGGTTTTCGTTTAAAAATATTTGCCTTTTAATCATTTTTACTTTATGCATATAATAACTAGCCTCATCTCAATAAAATAATAATAAATATAATGATAATTTATATATTTGTTATTATAAAATTTATTATTCATAAAACAACATTTATATTAATAATTATAACAATAGTGATAATACTATTTTTAAAAATAAAATATTTACCACTTTATTTATGCTAATATGTTTTCAAATATTCAACGAATGCAAGTGCAAAAGTAACATTTATTTTAGTTTGCTTAACTGTAAGATTACACTGGTTTTCTTTTTGGCAAATAAATTTTTAGCTTGTCTCAGTCAAAACTTATTAGTCAATGTATATTTATCTCGTTTTTTACTCTAATCTTATTTTATTAGTGTGTGTAATAGGATGTATTTTTTCGTTGCTATTTTTAAGCTTGTAACAAATACCCTTTTATTCATGCAGGAAAGAGCTTAAAAAAACCTGAGTTATAATTAGCCTTTGTACTGCACTCTCCTAATAAAAAAACACCTTAATTGTAACACCCTAAGATCACCTTATAATCATGCTACATGATTTATTATTGTATTAGTTTCAAATTTAATAAGTTTAATTAAGTTTTTTTTTACTGTATTCACCTCCCCAAAACTGAAGGAGGCTTATACGATAAGTGGCGATAATCATGATATTAGATGATATTAGATGATAATATGATATTAGATGATAATATGATATTAGTTGATAATATGCAATAATATATGTGGTAGTTTTATGAATTATATTTTGATTTTTTGACCTCTCAAAATAATTTGTAGTCAGTCAAACTATTTTAAACTTGTTTTAAACAAATGAAGTTGCTTTAGTATTATTTTAGTATTATTAGTATTTTTACTTGTTTTAGTATTATAAACAAAGTATACATACCAACACATCAAAAACACATGGATTACTTTTTTTAAAAGTAATTTATGTTTATTTTATTGTTAATCTATAATTTCTTTGTTAATCTTAGTGTTTTAATTAAACAGATGAATTTAGAAATAATATAAATCAATTATTTAAATTTTTGAAAACTACTTTTGCAAGCACTAAATTTCCCACTACAGTCTGCATATTATATTTATAAAATCATTGATAAAAAGCATTGTGTTTTTATCTTATTTGTTTTAGTATGGTGAAAAGAAAAAAAAGATAAAAAAAAAAAATGTATTAAAAAATGCATAATAGTTTAGCCAACCTGAATGTTTCAATATCTGCTGGTTTATGTTTTAAAGAAGAGGAATTTTTAGACACAAATTTTAATGTTGATAAGTTTGTATCAAAATACAAGGATCTTTTTCCATTAAGTACTTTGCGTGAAGATTTGGAGACACATTATAAAAATATACAGCTTGCATTGGTTGAATTGATTAACAGAGATTATGCAGATTTTGTTAGTTTATCCTCAAATTTGGTATGCTAAATTTTTTGAAGCTTTTTAACAAATAAAGTTTTTAAAATAATTTGGTCATTAGCATAAATAAACATTAAACTAAAGTAATTAAAAAAAAAAAATTGACTTTGAATTTTTGCTGGAACTTTAATTTTCAGATTGGAACTGATAAAACCATAGAAAGTTTAAAACAGCCATTATTAGAAATCAAAAGCAAAGTTGCTGTAAGTTTTTATAAAATATTTTAAAATTATCATAGATTTAACTACATTATTGTATTAGAAATTTTTTATTGTGTATAGAGATCTAGAAACTAACAGTTGTGGGAACTTGATTAAGGCAATTCAATTTTCTTTATGATTAAATTGTCTAACTTGGCCATTATATATCATAAATAATGTAATATATTAAAGTTTTCTTAAGGTTGTGGTAAAATCAGCTTTAAAATTTACAGAACTGTTTAATCAGCATCAATTGCACCCATATCTATTAAAAGATTTCATCTGCAAGTAGTTTCCCTTGTCTTGATCTATTAGGCTGATGTAGATGTAAACCTGTGTTACTTTGTTTCCTGCCTATGCTGGATCTTCTAAAACTCAGTTTAATGGTTCTTAGTCCAGCTGGTAGTAAGGTTTTCCAAATACTGTAGTTGTTCTCAGAGAAGCTGATTCCAACAGCTGTAAAATATCAGTGTTAACTGTGCCATTTGCACATGAATAGTGTCCCTGTTATGACTTTGGGTTAATTAGCAGGACTGAGGCAAGTGCATAGCTCATTTCTTGAGATGCCATTCTCTATCTATAAATGAGTCAAGTTATCTTTAAATTTAATTCATGACCAAAGTACCCAATTATATGAAACATAAAAATCACCACCTTACTTCTTCAATAAATCTTTTACAAATATTTGTGGTCTCCTATGTAACTTTTCATCAGTTGATTCTTACCTTTTGCAAAATTCACCAGACTTACTTGCTATTTGTAAGTCTAATTCGAATTAGACTGTTTTTTTTTTTTTTTTTTGGTTCGCATTATTGATGGGTATTATTATTTGATTCACAAAGTCTTCAATAATCACATACTTGGATTGGGTTTATACTTACACATTAATTCACCTGTTTTTTATGAAATCAGGTTTTAATCCTTTTTATGTGCTTTCACTTAGCACCTTTTTACTCAATCATCTTTCTCTTTGTTTTTTACTGATCTTTTTACATCTGTCCTCTTTTAGATAAAATCTGATCAAATTGACCATGCCCTTTCTCTTTGTCCCTCTGCTAGTATTGTCATTATTTGTGACTTAAATGCTTTTCACACTGAGTGGATTGGTTCTAACACTGCTGACCCTACTGGTACTAAAGCTCATAACTTCAGTATTTCTCAATTTTTTACGCAGATAGTTTAGATAGATCCTTGTGATTACTAGCATGAGTTATCTTTGATAGTTATCTTGAGACAGATCTTTATGACTTGTTTTCCAGACAACCATAATCATTTATCTGCACTCCTTGATTCGTATTTTGTCTAGCTTGACCCTAACCTGTGTTTTCTCCTTGTAGATTTAACCTTTAGGTAGTTTTGACTGTTGAATAATCTCTATAAATCTTTTATTTCAGACTCACCCTATCATTTTACTAGTTACTGTTATCCTAAAACTGACTTATATTTTTTCATGATTTTCTTTGTTTCTTTGTGACAGTTCTTTTGCCTGATGTCTTTTGTCTCTTCGCTGATAAATGCACCTCTTATATAATCTTCTGGATCCAAGAAGGTGAAAGGCATGGTAGGTTTTTTTTTTCTTATCAGTTTCGAGTCAAGTCTCATTTTACTCCATGGTTTTCACCTTCTTTTGCAGCTGCTATATCTATTTGTAATCTTTTTTTTTATCTTTTTTAACAATGACAGCTCTCTTGAGAATGAATGCCTTATTATTTTTGCAAGAAATCAATGTAAAAGTTCTGGTGCTAAGTTCCACTATTCTTCGTTTACTAAATCTAGCATCTTATCTCTGAAGAAAATCTTTAATAGTGTTATTAAATAATGGCCATACTCTTCCTGCCAGTTACACGGATTAACTCATTGTTAGATATGCAAATCACTTTGGCTTTCATTGCTAACTTCATTTCTCAATTACACTCTACTATGGTTTAGAGTCTAGGCAACATTTCTGTCTTAGTCTTACAACTTTTCTTCTTAATAACTCTCTTTAATTTTCTCTAAACTATTTAATAAGTGCTTGAACACTCTTCTCTTTTCGATAGCTTAGAATACTCAGCTAATCTTGAATCTGATCTCTCTTTTGTAACAGCTTGGAATTTTGAGTGGCTTGTGAATTTTAACTCCAGACTCAAGACTCAAGAAGTTGTTCAATCAATCAAGACTAAGTTGTTTAATCAATCAAATTATCTTAATCAAAGAAGTATTTTTTAATGTTTCTTTGTAATAAACAAAAAAAAGTTTAACCTTAGCGTTTACAATTACGTTTAGAATATGCAACTTTGACCTTTTCTAAAGATTTTTGTAAAGTTTTTAAAATATCTTTTTTTCAGTTTTTTATTATTTTTTTATTTTCTCTTTTGATAAAACTTCTTTAAATTTTGTTAGTACTTTTTTTTTTTTAGTTTGCTCTTTAATTAGTTCAGCTTAATTCTTTCAGCGCATTTTTAAAACACTTTAATTATTTGAACATGCAAACAGCTGTCGTTAAGTTATCTAAAAATATTATTTTATGCATTGCCAAATAAGTTGTCTGAACTCACTTCCTATAACAGCCTGATGTATATATATATATATACATTAGTATCAGCTTTTTTTGTTTATCAGTATCTGGTATCAGCAAGCTTAACTTAATTTTTTTTTTATCTTTATGTAAATGTGAGATAATAAAAACCTTTAAATATCTAAACTAGGTCGTTCGAGATGATGTATCAACTGTGCTTCAAAGTCTAAAAGAAAAATTGGAAAAAAGAAAACTTGTTAGAGAAAAAAAGGTGAATATTTACATTCAATTGTTATCAAATTATTATACCAACTTTTTTTTACATGGATCCTATGAGAATGAGTTTCTCTAAATATATTATTTAGAGAAACTCATCAAATATATCAATACCTTCTTCATAGAAAGTGATATTTATATACTAGAAATACCTCTTAACATTGTTATATATTTATTCAATATTTTTTCTCATTATAATTTTTTTTCTTTATAATTATTTGGAACTCACTTTTAATTTACAGTTAATTTTAGCTTGAATAAATCTCTGTATTTTTATATTTAATAATGGTAAATATCTGAGAGAAAAATACTTAGCAAATCTATAGTCTAGAAGAAAATGTTTGAAAGTGAACAATAGTTCACTCTATCTGCTTTTTCTCTGTGTTCTATGTTTGAGTTTTCTCTGTGAACAGAGTTTCAATTATTTATGTTTATTTTACTTGAAAATAAGACTAAATAGTTAAAAACAGTGTTATTTGGTTATTTTAAATTTTTGTGTGTCAATATAGTGTTTTTATTTTTCATAAACTCATTTCTTTATTCAATTTTTTGTTGTTATTTTTTTTATATACACATTTTATTTATAATAAAAAATAATTTTTTTTTTTTTATTTCAAACAAAAACTTCCTTTTAGCTTAGGAGGCACTTTGAACTAAAATTGCTTCAAACTACTTACAAAAAGGTGTTAGTATTTCATTTCACTTGCAAGTGAAATACTAACACCTCAAATTTTGAAAATAGTTTGTTCATCACACAACACCAAAAGAAGCAAATTTTCAGGGTAAAATAGGCATTATGTTAAATTATGGGATCTAATATTAGTTTAAGCTGTGCTAGCAGGTATCGAGAACATTTAATTAATTTCCAAAAGTTCTTAGACCCATCATTGCCAGTTGGATTTGTTTTTATTTGAAACTATTCTGGAGCATGTACTTTAACACAATATTTAGCTAATAGTTTTAATTCATTTGATGGATTTGATGTAGAAATATATAATTGTAATATTCTATTTGCTTTTGTTAACCATCGGGCATGGTACATCTTACCTGGGGATCTTACCTGGGGATCTGTTACTCAAATCTTCAGAGTATTTGCCACTAATAATTGCCATTGTTATTTCATATAAGTATTTTTGATCTGTATTCAGATCTTCAAATTTACTTGTGGAAGTTTGCTTTGTATTTTTTTATAGTTTATTATTGGTAATTTTCTAATGGTGTACCAATAGGACCAGCAGGTGAGGATGGACCAGTGGTAACACCGTCTAATTTGATAAATAGATGTCTCAAAGGCAATTCGTTTAAATGTACATGCAAATAATCCACTGTAAGGGGTGTTGAAGCCTTTTCTTAAAGGTTCTAAAAGTTTTAATCATGCTGTTGAATTTTTCTGTGTTAGTGATCGTACCATCGCAACCAATAGCCATCAACTCATCTGGATTAATTTTGGTGACAAGAGAAGCTGAACTGATGTTTTAATACTTTTAACAGTACCTCGAACTGGCGTAGCGTAGCCAATATAAACTAAATCTGGTTTTTTAACAACAGATATATGTTCCTCAATCAGTGTTTGTCTGTACCTTTTTGTTCCTTTCTTCACAATATTTAGCGTCTTGTCTTTTTGTCCATCAAAGTATAAAACAGCTAAATGAAGTTTGTTGTTAATATAATTTATTACATCTTTTTTACCTTTCCCGCCATGTTTTTGATTTATCGGCCACTTCAAATACTGTAACGGTAGCAGGTTTTTTACAACATAGGCAAACTTTTAGCTGTATTTTTTGTTATTTTTTTTATTTGTGATGTGGAGGGTAAGTTTAGCCAATCTGGTGAAGAAATATTGCCTTCAGACTCACTTGAAGACGATACCAACTCATGCTATTCAATATTACACTTCTTTTGAATTTTGAGAATGTGTAAACTATATTTGTTCGTCTTAGAGGCTCTTGTTACCTTTTATTGTAATTTAGCTGAAAAAATACGATCTATTCCACCAATTTACATCTTCCTTTCTTGTCTTCGGTCAATCAAAAACTTCTGCTCTTCTTTTAGTATCTTTTTTTCTCTTGGACAACAACAGAGTTGAATTTGTTTACATTTACATGAACAAATGTTGAATAGAACTCTGCTATGCTGTATAAAATCAATTTTTTGATCAGCAAATTATCTTTTTAAAGATTTGATGAGATTTTTGCACTTTAAATCATAAGCCTTTTATAGCTGAATCACCATGTGTGTGAAATCATAGGAAGGGACAATTTTCTCCAAACATCTTCTACTTTTTGAGACACAAGCTCGGCAATATGTAAAAATGATGGTTCTTTTATAGTATTTCTGCTATTTTTAAGTTCTAATCTATTCCATTTGTAATATTTCATGACTTATTTGTAGGTAGGCAATACATTGTTCTTAATATCTTGTACACTCCCGAATATAATGCGCTGATAACTTTTTTTTCTAGTTTCCATAATGATTTATAAGTTAGTGTAGTGAAAATTATGTAACAAATATAAACGCGCATACAACTGTATTCTTATAATATTTTTGTCACACTCAAACCAAATAATTATGCAACCACTCTTAAGTACCCTCTTAAAGTAATAAAAATAAAACTATTTGTAAACAAGGTGTGCTCAATAATTCTATAGCACTTAACAATAACACAACAATGAGCGTTTAGTTCACAAAATAAATTTGTAAATGTTTATGCTGTAGTAGCTTTAAACCACTTTTTTTACATTTATGTCAAACTTTGGGATCAATGCGCAGGCTGTTACGCTAAAAAAAAAAAAAAATTTAAAAGATTTGTAACTGAACCATTAAAGGGATCCCAAACTCCCAACACATGTTGTGTTCATATTAAAGATAATGTTAAAAAAAAAGGTTTGAACCAAATTTTTTTGATTAAAAATAAATAATGAATGCATACCGTGAAAAACAAATGTTGTTGTTTTTGCCGAAGCTCGTCTTCTCCATTTTTTTCAACTAATCGGAGTCTTCAAATTATGCGTCGCAATCTACAGACTTTGGCAATTCCTTTGAAGCGCGTTTAATTCATAAAAGTTTTAGTATTTGACGTCACGGTAGACTTTTAATAAATTAAACTCTAGAAATATTTTTATTTATTTTTAGTCGAAGTTTTTTTGATTATTTGTTTAGTTTTTGTTTTTTTTCTACTTTTAATATTTAAAAAGATATTAAAAACCTTAAATATTTTATGCTGGTTCGTTGCTATAAATTGTTATTGCGCCATATATTTAATGTTTATAAATTATGAATATTTATTATCTCAAAAATTGTTTTACATTAATTACCCGTATAAAATTAGAAACAGCTTTTTTATTTGGTTAGACGATATTTCGTTTCAATTTGCTTTGCATGAAGTTCGGAAAGTTAAACGAAAAAAATTATTTCGAATAATCACGTAAATCAATATATATTTAAAACAAATTATTTTAATGACGGGGGTTCTAAAGTTTTTTATAACAAATGTAGGTAAAAAAATAAATAACTAAATAAAAAGTTCATTATTAAACACCATTTCTTTATTCTATTGCAACTGTAAATATTGAATTATTAACTTGAACTAAATTTACTTATTATTTAGAACGACTAAGCAATAAAAATAAAATGCCCCTATAATTCGAGATTGTGTTGTTTATTATTGGCAATGTTGTTTATGTTGATTATTTTCATAAATATCAAAATAGTTTCAGATTAACCTGTTCGTTGCTTTGCTCATTGTTGATTTATTTCTAATTTAATTTTATCTCAAACTATAATTCTATGTTAAAAAAGAAAAGTTTTTATTTCATCGGGCGCTCTTTTTATAAAAGAGTAGAACAAAAGAGAAAGAAAAGTTTCGCGCAATTAAACTTTGAATGAGTAAGAGTTGTATAGAATATATATATTTTTTTGCTTCACTCATTCTTTTTTTAGATGAGAGAAATTAAAGTTTAATAGTAAATTTTCTTTGAATAAGTGAGAATTGGAAGAGAAAATTGCTTGAAAATTTGTATTTGTTAATTGTGTTTTTAAAATTTTTTAATTTTTCATGTTAAGAGACAAATGCCAATTACGACACAAATTTGGAAATACCAAATATAATATGTTTTTTAATTCGCGTTATGACATTTTAACAATTTAAATTACCATCTATCTTGAATTATTGCCTTTAATTAATGTGTTAATTATTGCGTTATTTAATAATAATTTGTCCATATTTTTGTTAAATATTAGTTGTATAAAACGGGCGAAAATATACAAACTTTATGTTTTTTATTTGATGGTTATAAAATATTAAACAGTAAACTTATAATCAAAATTTCTAATGCCGACTTGTGTTGCAATTAATTGTACTTTTAATGCAAAATCAGGATCTCACAAATCCTTTCACGAATTTTCATATCTGATACTACTGTCAACTGTATTGTTTAGTGTATTCTTGCACTTTTTTTTTATAATCTTAACAGGTTCTAATTGGTAAGAGTTGTTGACACTTTAAAAATTTCATTATCAAAAATCAAATGTAAAATAAAATGGTATTTGCTTTTTATCCGTATCCAATTCAGCAAATTTAGCAATTTAAATTAAATCAGCGTGATCAAAAAAATTTTATAATAAAAAAAGTTAACAATTTATTAAATATCTCTAATTAATACTGTCAGGTTATGAAAGTAATTGTTAATAAATACTTTTTTTCGACGGGAAAACAAAAAATTGTCATAGCGTAAAAATAACCAGAGAAGTTAGAAAATAGTTCCCTTTGTTTAAATAAAAATAATTAAGAATCAGAATATATAATACTGCGCTCTCTTGCGCAAAAACAAGAGACCGTATATAAAACGTTCTATATAAAGTAAAATACTCGTATGAAAATCATAAGATTGGTAAGTAAAGCTTTAATATTTATTTTAATTAAAATAATTAAAGAAATATAAGTAAGATATATAAATCTAAAAATTATTAAGATATCTGTAAAAAATAAGTTGCTCC